ATAATCGAAGAAAACAGTCAACATGACCTTGATTTTTGAGCGACTTTGGCGCGATATTTTTGGTCTCGGCTCTCTTTTGGCACGAGCCTCTCATCATCAGTTATAATGCTTTTCATGACCCTGGTAGTCGGAAAGCATCGTTTCACACACTTCAACGCGTCGCCTTTTTTTCCAGTCGAGATTTGACGCGCTTGAGGCCCAAACCATTACTCTAAATGGTATTGGCTGAGCCTTTCGATATGCCAACTTCATCAGCAAGGTATCTAATTGTTAATCGACGGTTTTTCAACACCGAATCTTTGATTTGTTGAACGTGAGCTTCGTTGGTTGAGGTTGATGGTCGCCCTGGACGCTCTTCGTCTTCGACACGTTCACGACCGGCTTGGAACTCACTATACCACTTTTAAACATTTTTTTAGACACAGGCTCATCACCACAAGTTTTCTGCACCATCCTCAACGTATCCGCGGCAGAAAATTGATTCCGTAAACAAAATTTGATACAAATTCTTTGCTCAACAAATTTCGACATTGCAAAAACGAAAAACTCACTTTTAGCAGCTCACAAAACGACACGTATCTCAAACACTAATGAATATTTTGACATGAAATACGTAAATGTGACTGACAGTACTACCAACCTAAAAAAAATAATTCTTTTTGGGCACAGTAGTATATATGGTATATGTGTAAATGAATTTTATTTTGAATCTTTATTATCAACTTCAAAATAGGCTGCTGGGCCAACACAAGCATACTAATGCATACACATGGTATACATGAGCCTCGGCTGAGGTGATCTTCAGTACATTCAACAAAGTTTGGTTTTTCCGGTTTAGGTTCATTTCGCCCGGAGTGACGTGTTTGATGAGTATGGGGTCCATTGTTATGCTATCATAGATATCTTTTGTGACCCCTGCTCCACTTATGTTATCTTCTCTCTCTTTTTTTTTTTAAGTTTACCTCTTCTAACACAAATATTCCTTTTTACAAACTACTGATTCAAAACCAATAAAGACCCTCAATTCCGAGAAAGCTTTATATCTGAGAGTTTTATGAAATAATATTGATATCTGGAGCTTCAGTTCGACAAAATTTGTCGATTTCTATACATTTTGTAACTGTATAAGTTTCCCAGCGACTAATGTCTCTCTTTGTTTATAATCTCTAAGTTGCTCGCTGCCGTAATAGTTTTAGCGCCAACTGTATATGGTAGCTTTCTGAATAGGCTTGCAGCGCGCGCATATGAACAGCTACGCGCTCAACCGAAGACATATGGCAAATGGCGTTTCGCGCCTGCATTGAAATTCGATTTGGCATTGATGGCGAAGTGCGGCACCAGCACTGCAACAAACTGCCACTGGCATATCGGCAAATGAATTGCTTACGCGCACACTTAAGTATGGGAGCTGGCAGAGCTGTACTTGTCGTTTGGAAGACCGTCGCCGCCAACCTGAGGCTTGCCAAAGAGGGCTTTACTCGGCGGGAGCACTTTATGGCAAGGATTAAATTGCATATCTGCGACAATAAAAGTGCATGAAGTTGCATGCATGACATTAATGCATACGTGTGTGTGTAAGTTGTTTGTTTGTCGCAGTTGCAGCGCGCATTGTTGCAGGTGCGCGCTGCGATTGCGTTGGTTGCACGCTCACATTTTTTAATTACTCCATCTTGTTTGGTGGCAGCAATCGGAAACGATCGATTGCTGTGCCACACAAAGTAAAAAGCGTGCAATTAGACGCCTGTGTGTGTATGTGTGTGTTTACATATTTTTATGTAAAAAACGTTTAATGCTTTCATGCCACATACATATTTGCTCCAAATACCAGAAAGACAAACACTCACACACATAAACGCGCAAACGCCCGCAACAAACATGAAACTGCACACATTGCATACATACTACAACTGCAACATATGTGCTCATGTGTGTAAAGTTGCATTAATGCAAAAATGTCTTGCGAGTGTTTTGTAAATAAGTTAACCAGTTCGAAAATTGTTCAGTCTGCCCACTGAAATTAGCTTTGAAAATTCGCATATTAGTGTGTATGTATGTACGTGCCACACTCGGTTTCGGCGAAGTGTCGTGCATTGTGGCAGCGCGCATTTGTTGCATGTCGCCATAATGTTGTTGCAGGTGGTGGCCCATATGCATATGCGCATGTGTGCGTGTGTCTCGCGAATGTGTTAAATGAATTAATGCACCTTGACACCTACACATGCCACAGGCGGCTATGTGGTCACGGCGCTGGCAAAAATACAGAAATTATTCAAGTTAAAAAATGTGTGGCAATGCAGAAATTATTGTGCAAAGCACACAATTAAATTGCAATCATTTATCTGACAAAAGTCAACAGATAACAAAACCAAAAACGTACAGTTATTTCGAATATTCGCTGAAGCTACAACAAGAGCAATGACAGAAGAAAATGCTCAAGTCATTTTTATGAAAAAACTAAACCTCTGTTTTTATAGTACCTTATTATAGTACCATTCCTTATTTTTGACATTCTCATTACTCTTTCACTTTACTTCTGGTTTCGAAAATTAAATAAAATTAAATTATTGAAAAGAATACCAACAAACATTGTAGCCCTATATTAAGGAAGTCGCCACAGATAGAGATTTATATCCGCATCCGCGGAGTGTTTTTTACATCAAATAACAACAACTCCGAAACTACTAAATCTATAAATACAAATTCTAAAAATATACAGTAAAAAAAATTTAAGAAAAAATTAAATATTTTTTGAGTTACACAGGAGTTCTGACGACTCATCTTTCATTAGAATAACCTGTAGCAGAAAAAATGCCAAATGGCGGTATTTAAAAAGAAATTTAATTTCAATTAAAATTTTTTATCGAATTTAGCTTGCCAAAATATTATTTTTGATCAGATCAAAAAACTAGTGTGTTGCATGGGGAACTATATACAAAAAATTCACAAACAATAAAAAAGCGTTTATATGTTTATAAACTGATGGAACTGATTGGACTAAACAACAACACTTTAGAATAGCGCAACTCAAAAACTATTTGAAATATTGATTTCAAAATTTCGTATGTTACTTTTTAAGGTATAGCCTAGCAAAATATGTATTAAAAATAAAAATATATATATTCTACGCTAGTTGACCCTGAAGCGTTTAAACCAGTCTAGGGTTTTCAAAAAATCAAATTTTTCCAGTCAGTAAGCTTCAACACATAATCTGAATCTATCTCTTAAATGCAAATTGTTCTCAAGCCAGCAAACGTACTTTATTTGCAAATGTTGTTTAGGCCACAGGGTTACAGTTAGAATTTTCCAAAATTTTTTTTTTCTTTATGAACATATATTTAAGGATACACACAGAAAATTTCATATTGTCCCGGTAAATACTTTCGAAGTTACACGCAAATTTGAAAGAGCGTTTCAGAGTGCCTGAACTTTAAAATGTGACTTATTTTTCTAGAATAACACACTATTTACATTTTTCAAAATTATGTATCAAACAAAATTTGCTTGAAATTTCATGTAGAAATTTACAATGCGCCTAAATGTTGGCAATAAGTTTATCTACTGCCCTTTTCAAATTTTCAATAGACTATTGCCTACATTTCTGGTTAAAGTATAAAAGTTTCTTCCATTTGAGACTATATATAAATCCACTTTGAAGTTTCTATTTTTTTCAATGAAAAAACGCAGAAACTTCAAACTTAATGGTAAATTTTTATAATTATTCGAAAGAATTCGCGGCTACGAGTCGGATGGTCCATCCGTTGGGCATCCGTTGAGTGCTAAACTTGAAAACCGTTTTCTCAAGATGGGTTCTTAAACATATTTTATAGTAATTAATCGAAGATGTTTTCACACTAATAAATATTTTTTAAAAACAATTTAAGGCCGAAATTTTGGATAAATAAATTTAAAAGTTTCCTCAGAATAATTCAAGGAAATGCCCTTTTTCGACCTTCTAACTGCATATAGCCCCTTAAAATCCAGTTTTTAATGTCGTTTAAGGGGTTACATGTTTCCCAAAGTTTCAAGGCAATCGCAATAGAACCTTTAAGACAGCAACCGGTCAGGCTAAATCAGTCGACTACTTCAATCTTTGATCGCGCTTTTCTCGAAACATTGTTTTCAAGGTTGGTGGTCACGATTTTTCGGAAATTTGTGAAGCGATCTTATTTTTCTCCTTTCAAGGTAATTTGTGACAAATTTTAGTAAAATCATTTGTTTTGTTTGTACATTTTATTTTCCAAATCCGTCGATTAATCAGGACCTCGCGCTCTATATTCATATATATATTCATTTATTTTCCATTCGTTTTTTATTCACTTACTGAAGAGTAGTGATATAAATATATAAAATATTATCTGGTAATAAGTAGGTATATATTAAAGCACCGAAGTTATTGGTGTAACTATCTACCAATTGATGAATTTGAAAATCTTAAATATATTCCAAATTAATTACCTTCTAGTAATGAGTAAATTGAAAAAACTCGTAATGCATTTTCTTCAGATAAGAAGTTCGTGTCTTAAGTCTTTCGATTTAATATGACATTTTCATCACAAAGCTGAGATGTTTGAACGAAGCAAAACGATCTTTTACACTTATACCATATTATTATAGCCGGCTTAAGTTTTATGGAATCAATATGTACCAATGATTCCCACCCATTAATGTACAAAAAAACAAGCGGATTCCAAGGATTGTGGCCAAATTTTTACAACTTTTAAAACCTTTTATACTATTTTAATAATATTATGCTTTAATATTTATACCTTAGCATGTTACAATATGAGAGTAAATATATAATTATGAAGAATGTCAAATTATTGAAAAAATTGTAGCTTCTTATTCGTCATGGCAATTAAACAATTGATGAATAGAATTGATTAAAAACAGGAAATAACATACATAAACACCTTTTTATATATAATACATATACGTTTTTACCCAACACAACCATACTTTTATGCAAATGATAACAACAATAAAATTTGTCTCCATTGCAGATCAATTTGAGTGTGAAATCGTGCCACCTGCTTCAATCAGCGAAATCCCCGAGAAACTCTTAACCACTTCGGGTATTTATCTGCCAGGTAAGTTTCAATCAACACAATATCCGCTTCAATAAATTCGGGCATTTTATTTACCTGCTTTGCATTTAGCAACAAGCCTTTCCGGTCGCGCTGACTATTTTGCATATTTCTCATTAACACCCGACTCGCTCATGCATATTGGATTTGGTAAATATTCTAAATTGGACTTTCGCTATAAAATTTCCCGCTGCTATCGTTCCACTAAACTATTAAACCAAATTTGTTATCAATTTGTTTGCCATTCACGTGCGCGCCGGCGCACACGCTCACATGCGCACCGCCACGCCAGCGCAAATTGATTTGCATTTCATTTGCTGCACACACCCAACCGCCAGCTAAGCACACGCTCGAGTGTTTATGCTTGCCACAACATGTTAATCGCCGCAATAGTTGCCTGCTGTGACTAGTGATCATCTGATCATCAGCAGATCACATCACCGCATCTCCCAAGGCAGCACCGTGCTGTCATAACATAAATTTATGAATTTATTTGCGATGGAAGTGAAATTCTTAAACACCTCGGCGCGATAGACTGGCATTTCATTTTCATTAGTGTCGTTCAATTTTACGTGCAACACTTTGCCAAATCAATTTTAATGCCGCCACCATTAGCGTCGACAATAAAGTCGTTGAAGACACTCACTACTTTTAATCCATTTTTTTCTAAAGCAATTAAGCACCTATCTAGACGCGTGTATGTGTGTGTGCTCTGCGCATTTTAACAAGTTAACATTTAATTGACCACCCAATGTGCGAGAAATTGCCTGATAGCCAAGTAGCATGGCTTACAGGTGCACCACTTTAAGTGTTTGTATGTATGTGTGCATAGCTAATGTTGTTGTTGTTTTTGATATTGCTGCTGTTATGAGCGCACCCATATGAGTTGTTGTGCGGTTGTTTGCCTAGTTGGCGGCATGCGGTTAGTTGGCTGGGTGGCTGGCTGCCTAACCGCCCATCTGTGTGAACGTTGGTAGCGTGCTGTCTGGCCGCAATAATTGTGTCAAGTTCATTTGCAGCGTAAATGAAATAAATTTAATTGACATGCAAATTACTTGATGGCCGCAGTTTTGTGTTTTCCCTCAGAGAATGCACTCACATCTCCATGCGTCTCCTTGTATTTGAAACTTTTCAGCAAGTGCACTCGTCTCAGAATCTATTCAGTCTAGCGTGACCGATTTAAAGTGCACTCAGTGTATAACATTTTTCACGAATATGAGGAAGGAGGGAGAAAATATTGCTATAAACTAGATGAACTATGATAGCTTAGAAAACTATATCCTTTTGTGAATTTTCTAAAATTGATTATTTTGTATGCCTATATAAGATATATTTAATTGAGATTCTTAAATTGACCGATCTACTTGATCTTCTTAGATATACTTGTCCGAAATAATTCGTAGAAATAAGATATTTCATAATAGTCTCAATTTACTGAGCCACTCTGGGGTTAAAACTTTTTTACCATAAACGGTGTTTTTGGGCAGCCCCAACAAAAAGGCGTTTATTATGACTTGGTAGTGGACATAACTCGTTAAACATTCAAATTTGCTTAATTTGACAGTACTTTTTGAAACCATAAGCTTTTACTCCATTTACCCAACTCGAAGAAGCGCCGAAGAACTCAGTGTTTTTTCATTCAGGAAATACATACTATATAAGACTGACCACCAATTACCATCCCAGGGAAACCTGAAATATAGAACTATTATGATACTATATGCTATATGCTATTATATATATAATAAACTGTGAAAACGTTTTCGTCGGTATAAGAATCCAAAGGAATTGTATTTGAGATTTAATTTTGAACATGATCATACAAATAAATTTCACTGAAAAAAGTAACGAATTCAAGGCTACTCTCTCAATGTCTGGCTAATAGCGTTTCTGTCCAGTTATTAGAGTTGTTCGCTTAATACATTGTACTTAATAAACATGAACAAATTGTGGGACCGGCCGATGTGCATGGCTATTAGAGATGTCCGCTAAATAGAGCGTCCATTTAATAGAACTTTACTGTACTTTTTATTTATGAATTATTTTTACTATTCTATATTCTAAGTTGGTTCAAACTGGACACAGTGTGCTAAATTTTACCAAAATCGATTCAGTAGTTTAAGAGTCCATCGCGGACAAACAACATGACACGTAATTTTTATATATGCTTGTAAGAAGAGCAATACTTCACTGCTTTCACATATTTTGGGTCTATTCTGGCTATGAAAAGAATAAAACAATTATTAGAATGAAATCAGAGCAACCAAAGTTTTTCAACACGCGGACCATTGCCTTGTGGTCAGAGTTTCATCTCCGGGTGAATGAGTATGATATTTCGATGTAATATTCAAGAAAACTTCGGCTCAATTGTTTCCTAAAAAATGTTGATATAATAAGTAGAACTTCCTTAATTTATACTTAACTTTAGTTGAACTAAGAACAAGAACACATCAGTTCTCTAATCTATCTCTTTGTCCTTCAAAAGTAATTTAAACTTGAAAGTCAATCGGAGCCATTTTTGGTGAATGCGAAGGCCGTTAGTGTATTGCTTCTTCCCACGAATCTACAAACAAGCCAAGAAGTGTATACGTCTATCCTATTGCAGACAAAATAAACAATGAATGCAACTGAAAATTGTATCATACTTCATACAAGTATCATCAATTTCACTCTAGATCAGAATTTTTCTTATGATGAAAGCTGACGCTACAAATGGTCACATTTTGGAGAGGTATTAGTTTAAGGTTTCTTTTCCCAATTTATATTGCTGCTACCTTCGAGTTGGTGAAGAGTTCAAATTTAATGGCAATCAACATACAACTTCAGGTGTATAAAGTATTTTGATTGTTCAGAAATGCGAAAATTTTGACTCCCGCGGAACTTATGTACTATTTTATTGAACACAGGTATGTAGTAGAATTTAAGAGCTGATTGCAAAATCTGAAATGACAGTACTATCTTGCCGGCATGCAAATCTTCGCGAATTTTTGTTGCATAGATCCAACTATCGATGAAGCGAGCTAATCCTTTTGTAGTCACATTTCCTCAATTCGCTTTACTATCGCAAATCATTTAATTTTATTTAGACAAATTTCATACTTTGTTATTGCTATTTAATGCTTGACTTTTACTTACATACATTTTTTTATCTCCCTTTAGGCACCACCGATTTGAAAGGCCATCCGATTGTCACTGTCGATGCGGAATGCGTACTGGCAGCCGGTCTGAATTGCTACGAAATAGCAACGGTGCTACTCTACTACAGTACGATACCTGAGAGGTGAGTAAAAAATGCGCACACCTACAATACGCGCCAAACTCTGTGTCGAAATGCTAAATACTTGTCATTACCAAGAAATATTTGAAAGAAAAGTGACACGACAACTCGCAGACGTTACAAAAATCGATGTCAGGAAAATCGATTGCAATTATTGTGAAGCAAAATGTTAGAAAATGGGAAGTAACTTTCGCACAAAACCGTAGGCATTACAACACTAAAAGGTACAAAGAAAAATATGGAAGAAAATTGAGGAAAACTTTTGCAAAGGTGCAACAAAGCGGCCGGAGTGATGTGTTGGCTGACAAAAGCTGCGCATGCGCACGCAAAATGCATGTTCACAGCTGCGTGGCGCCAATAATTTTGTCGAACAACAACAAGAAAACCTAAAACGAGTAGTAACAATACTCGAAACTGAAGTGGGAAAAAAATTAAAGAAATTATTGGCAAAACTCTTAGCACTACATAAAGTGCAAAATTATTGGCTACCGCCGTTTGCAATTACGATTTCGACGAAATGCGCGACAAGGAAGTCAAGCGAACGCATTTTACCAACCCAACAAGCAGTGTTGCATGCCACAAACTATAGCTTTTTATAACGCTAGGTCGGCTCTAAGTAGGCAAACATATAACTGTATGTATAGGTATGTGTATATGTGTGTGTGCGCACTTATTGCGAAATTTGTGTGCCTTTGGGAAAAATTCAAATCAAATGAAATCAACACGCGTTCAAGCGCAGATCGCTGATTGGATACGCACGCCACATTGCACGCTGCCGCCACAAAGTTCCACAACAACTTAGTAGACACACTCAAACACTCGAACACACACACACACACGCGCGCGCACAAGTGGGGCTAGTTAGGTTGCTGCAGCTTTCTTTCCGCTTATCACCACCGCCGCATCGCGCTGTTGCGCTCCCTTGGCCGCCGCCGCGCGCAGTCGCCGACGTATTTGCGCCCAGCCACCAGGCCATGCGACCGCATTCGGCAATTCGAATCGTTTGCGCACTTTGGCTGTTTGTAATTTCACACTCACGTCTGTGTATTTAGTGTTGCCGCGAAATTTACAATACCGTGCCATATTTTCCGATTTCAATTGCTTTGTTTGTTCGCCTGCCGTACGTAAGCTGCAAAGCTTGTGGCATGCAGCATGTGGCAAGTATGCGTGTTGTTTATTTTATGTGTGTGGCAAAGTTAATTTTATGACTGCATTTTTTGACGTCAACAACAACGTGTCTCTATTGACAACGATCGCTGTGCTGGTCACACGCTTTGGCAACATTCACGCACAGTTATTTAAATATTGACGCAGATTGGCATGCCAACACATATGTATATATATACGCTTGTATGTTTCTTCAGTGTTGGTGGGAGGGGCTGCGGTCCTTCATGCGTTGGTTACTGTAGCTTTTGGCTGCCAGCTATTCGTTAGGTCTTCTTAATGTCAAGCGTTTATTTACTCAGAGCTACTGCCGGACATAGACGCGATGTAACGAAATTCATGGCACACCCAAAGAATTAATACTGTGAACGCTGTTTGATTGAAAATGTAACAAATTGAAAAAGAAGCCTTAAACATTTTCTCTAAGCTCATCAACGATCTAATCGTTCATCAGCTTCTCAAGTAATTTTAAAACTTAACAACTGTCAGATAATCGTATTTTTTGAGTCTAATTATCAGAGAGAGCTGATACAACATTTTTTAACTATTTCTGTACCCAATAAGTCTTTGCTATATTCCTTAAAAAAAAAAAAAAAAATCATTACTCAACATAACATAACACAATATATGATATGTATAATATTGCATTACATATCACAAGAGAATTTTCTAAACTAAATGAAACATTACATATTGAGGTAATGTTCTGAGACCCCACAAAACTTTTAATATGACCACTTCGAGTCTTGATATTAAAGCAGAAGCAATCTTGAGTTGGCTTAGTGAATCAGTGTTCTCAAAAATAAGGAACAGTGTCGAAATTCCCAAGAATTTTACCGCAATACACCACTGTGCCACAAGTGATACGACGTGATGTGCCCATTTCTCTCTTTGTATAAGCCAATATTTGCAAATCCGCTCCTTACCCCTTAATCCTACTCATAAATAAGTGCTCGTACACCCGCAAACCGCAAGCTGTCACCTTAAGTTGCAAATGTTGACAAGAAGTTGCCAATTATTATTTGCATTTGGTGGCAACAACATGAGGCCGCAGTTATAGCGGATGCTAATAGATGCATTTGTTGTCAAAAAGAGATGATTAAGTGTAGGCAACTGTGCGTGTGTCAAGACAAATATACATATAACGGTACACAACGGACTAACGCTAACTAATTGCAATTGACCTCGATGTTGCACATTAGTATTTCACGCAGCACGTGCAGAATCCGCACATACACACACATGCATATGCACAACTGAAAGCAAAAATTCTTGGAAATCATTGAATAAATTCCAACAAAGCACTTTTCGCTGACCCGTACAAGCAGTGTCCGATAAATCACAAGCTCGCAAAAAATGCTCAAAAATATTTTCACTCCAACAGCGCAACAATATAAACCGATTTAGAAACCTTTCGGGTAATAAAAATTCAATTTGTCGTGAGAAAATCTTAGAAGAAATGTAGAACCACCCCGGGGACACACATGAAGCGTCAGTCGGCAGTGTGTCAGCCGTGCAAGCAATTGGCAGCCGATTAGCAGCACCTACAGATATCGCAGGCCCCCGTCCGTGTGCCAGTCTACCCACCAAGCTGTTAGCCTACTACACTGGCACAGTTTCGAGCGAAATGTGTGGCGGATGCAGGTCAGCGCGCATTTTCCTAGAAAGACAGCTACAAGCACAGCTTCCTTCTTTTACTTCTCTTCTGCAGCACTTAAGATTCTCGACAATCAATTCTTTTGCATAGAAAGAACCGCGAAAAGGGACCACAGCCAAAAGGAGCAGCATCTGTGGTCGTCATCATTCATGGCCCGTACTGCCCTATGCCAGAGATATGTGCGCTCGCAGCGTACCTGCATAAAAACATAAAATTAACGTGTCACGAAACTGTCAAAAAAAACGCATTGTTATTCAGTCTGAAGTCGGGCAGTCAGCCAAGCGGGTATACACCAGCGGCGACGGCAGCAGCAGCGCTACAACGGACAACGTGTCCGCCTTGGCCTGTCCGCTTTGTCCGTGATGGTGCTGCCTGCCTGACTGACCGTCCAACTGCATTTAAATTAAGTTTGAAAGAACAAAGTTAAAAGCCGCCAACACTAAGCTACAGCCACAGCTCCCAACGCCCCGCACCGCATACACCATGCAGAATGGTTGGTAAGCGCGCAAGCCCAACGGCTGGCGAATATGACTGAGTGACGTGCCAGGCCTGACTTAGAATGCGCCATGCCATTTATGCTCTGCTTCCACCGCTGCAAATACAAACATTTGGACATATGGTATATACAACTGCTAAATAATACATATAGACAGCGAGTGAAGTGTGCATAAAGTCCCTATAATTTTGATAACTGATTGTTGATCCTGTCGTTGAAGTTAAAATGGCCCTAAGTGAAATTCGAACGAAGGCGGTATCAACAATAATTCTAGTGCTGAATGTTCTTTAGAATGAAGTAAAGGAAGTATTCATGTCATGACCGCCCTGCTTCGACGTCACTGAGCTAAAATTCGTCTACTCTTGCAAAAAATGGAATATTTACTTAGTATCAAAGAATGCCTTCTCTAATAATGATAATGGAATATTCGAATGCCTTTAAAATCCTCTAAAACGTCACTGACTGAAGACTGCTTAGAAGCTCAATATATACATTTTCAGTTCATGTCTGTCTTTATCGGAAAACCAAAGTTAGGTGGTGTGCAAAATTTCAGAACTATGTGTCAAAATTTGATGGGTTAGTTCGCGCAGTCGGTTTGAAAAACTGACTGAATTGAAATTTCGGAAAGCAACAAAAACCTTTGAGTTTCTGTCTCAAGTACCGCACCAAATATTTTAGGCAGTCTTAAATGAGTTTAGGCAGATGCTCAATACAACCTGGGATATTTTCCCTGCCTCATACATAAGCCCTATGCATCGATTGTAAGACCAATTTTGCTATACGGTGCAGTAGCGTCGGGGAAGGACTTACAAAAATCTACCTCCCGGAAGCTAATGGAAATAGTTCAGAAGCTTGTTGCACTATGCCTAATGGGATCTCTAAGAGCGACTAAAAAGGGAGCTTCTAAACTAGTGCTAATCCTGCCACCTATAGACCTCTTCGCTGAAAGCTGCACGGTAAAATCGGCGATCTGGCTATTAACCGCTGTAGAGTTTACACATATGTGGGATCTTCGAGAATAGTTCATTGGGAAATTGCGGTTTGCCAAACATCGAACATATAATTCCACTTTTGAACGGCTTGAAAATGGAGGACGGAGTTTGTGTGGGCATGAAATGTCCTGAGTTAGGCATGAGGGAATATTTTAAACTGCCGGACCACTGCTTTACATTTCAAGCAGAGATCTTTGCTATTGGAAAAGCTGCAAAGCTTTTCTCTACTGCATTAGCAGACAACTCTAGATACAGCCAAGCATATCATCCAGAATTGTCTTGCAAAGCACTAAAGGGTAACTACTATTCATGGATTTCATATCGGAACTCGATCTGGTATCGCAAAAGACCAAAACTGGTCTATGCGGAGTCAACCAGACTATCTTAACCTAATTTAACCTTAGGCCGGTTTATAATGAAAACATTTTCATTTGAGGTTTTGCATTCTTTACGCAAGCCACTAAATATTTTAACTATCCCGCCATGGGGTGATTATGTGGCCACAAAAGTGGCAAATTGATTGGCATTTGCTGCATAACGATATCATTATCCCCGACGTCATTTTTCAACATCATCGCCAACATAATCCGCACATCATTGTCAACATCAACTTAGCCATCAGCCACGGTTGTCATGTAATTCAAGCGGCACAAGAATTCCCAAGCTGCTAACACCACAGCCAAGTCCTTTATCA